TCGCCAAGTGTTTACGAGATTTGCCTGTCACGGGTACCACTATTTATTTTGTAAGAATAAAAATTTTCATTCTCAAGCGACAATAGATTGTGAATGCAAGCACTGCGGTAAGAAATGTTCACAATATCATATTCTTGAATGTAATGAACGTAAACTAAGCCTAAGAGAGGCTGCAAAAATCAAAATTAACTAATTTTGTACTTTGTAATAATTATCGAAACAAGCTTAATTGTAAAATTAATTTTAGGAAGACAAATTAGCTTTAGACACCCGTTGTACACCTAGTTGTGTTCAATAAATACTCTATCTAAAAGTAAAGAAAGTATAGAATTTAGAAGAGGAAACTTTTTCAAATGTTGACGAGTAAATTATACAACTAAATCTTCCTCAATTAAGATCAAATTCAAAGTTGATCACAATCTTGAATGAAGATTGAGTCACCCTGGCAAGTCATGTACAACATTTTGGCATTGATCAGCTCGGCAATTTATCCGTGATGGTGAATCGACTTGTATAGTTGCGCTCTTTTATTATTGGCTCATTGTCAGTGCGGCGCACTCGCTCGTTTTCGGTCAATGCCAAACATCGAAGCCTTTGACAAAAGCTTTTGCCCTGGCGCGACCTTGCACGCGAACATTTATTCAGAGACGATCCCTGCTGGATGGCAATTAGCCATACACCGCGTGTGCAATGCAAATAACTTCCTAGGCCGATTCTGCTGGACTGACTCATCTGCTTTTCAACAATTTTTGCGATCTTCAATAACAGTAGCCATGATTTTCGCGCACTCATGGTCGGTCCTGCATTTCAATTTTCAATTTAAGGTCGTTCGCGAGGGATTGCCCAGGAAGGTCCTTCACCTTGCTCCTCCAAACTGAGCTACGTGCAGGGATGGTGATGAATTTTTATTTCAACCAAGCTGCCCGCGCCTTTTTTGTCGAATGGATTAGCAATTCCGTGAGCGAAATTCCTTCCAAGGTCTTTAACATCATTCAGCATTGCTGCAATGACAGGTTGTTTACCCTGCTTTCACTTGCAGATTGCTTAAAATTAGGTGCAAAACTCTCAAATTAACTGTTTCTCTTGAAAAGTATAAAAACGCAAGGAAGCTGTTCACTAGTTCACTTTTATTTCTTCATAATTTATAATTATACGTGTACGTGAGTTTTCGTTAATCGCTTCTGGTAATTTTAGAGAGGTGAACAACTCCAGCATAATAAATGCAAACCATTTTTAAAGAAATTTTGATCAATGAATTAGGCACATAAAGATCATTCAATCATTGGAATTGATTCTCCCATCTTTTGGATAAATTTAATGAGTTGTATTCAGCAGGCTAAATAGTTATTTAATTAATTTGAATTTATTTTAAATTCGAATGACTCACGTCAATCATTATGAAACTTACAAAAATATTATATATCGATTGCCACATAAAATTTAAAAAAAAACATTATTACAAAATTTAATGGGAAAAAATATACAAACATTTAAAAAGTCTAATGTTAAAAGAATCCTAATTTTATTTAATAAACGTTGCTATATTTTTAATATTTAATTCTCTTTTCTCCTTTTGATAGAAATATTATTTCAAACAGTTCTTGTGCATACATTTTTTACACTGAATTTCACGCACAAAAAAAAGTAATATTCAGCCAATCATAATCGTGAAACAACAAAATAATGCTTTTGTTCATATACAATCGTTCATTTTTTTTATCTCAGTTAAAATATCTCATATGAATAACAAAATGCAACGTTCAATAACTTGTAAATAATCTTCGTTGTTAATAGATTTCCTAACAATTATGAGATGGCTGAATAAATAATAGATAAATTTTTGGTTTATTTTGAATTAAAAAAAAACTCGAGTCAAACATTATGAATCTCGTATAAATATATCAAGCCAAATATTATTGAAATCCCATATTATAAAATTTTAATAATTTTTATTGAATAAAACATAAAAAAATTAAATTTTAAATGTCTTTTAATGTTACAAATAAAGGTAAAAGAAATTCTTGTTTTATATTACATTAACGTTTTTTATTTTTTTTATAAAGATGTATTACTATTTCTTCTTTTGATAAAAACATGTTTCTATAGCAATCAGATTTTTTGCACATAACTTTTTTCCTGCTAAATTTCATGCAAAATTACAAATAAATTAGAAAAATTATTTTAAGCTTTTATTGCAGCCAATCATGATCGCAAAACAACGAAATAACATTTATATTCCAACAAAATCTTTCATTTTTTCATCTTGGATATTATTCGTGTGGGGGGAAAGTTTCCGTTTGCTCAATTTCCTCTCGAAAGCAATAAATTAATTTGGTCACTTTGTCTCTCTGACTCTCACTAAAGCTTCCCAAATTAACTCTGCTCGTCCCCTCGACAAACAAGAGCAATAAATTCGGCACGTCGCGCAAAATCAACACCCACACGCGTTGCAACAAAAACTTCTTCATTCCCCTCAATTCCGTCGCAAACAACTTAATCCGTTTCGCCGCTGCACGGCAATTATTTCGATTGTGTTCCTCAGCCGAAAAAAGGCTCCTTAACATTCAAATGCCTGTCCAAAGGAGCACCTTTTTTGTTTTTCGGGTGGGCCGCCCTGCCGGACGGGTGGGTTATTTGGTCGGTGCACCGCTCGCTCGACGCGCATTTCCTCGTGATGTAACTAACGCGCTTCCTGTCTGTGATGCAAATGATGCTCCAACGAGCAATGAACAGCGAGCCTTTATTTTTGCGTGCGCAATTATCTAACGACAAGGCCACCGAGCCATTAGTCAGCCTTCGAACACGTGTTTTATATTCACATCAATTTGCTTTTAAGCACCAGGCCATTTCATTTGTTTGAACAAAACTTTTCTTTAAATACTGCTTAATCTTCTTGATCGAAAAAACCATCTGGATTTTAAATTAAACACGTTGATATATTTCAAAACAAAATTTTTTCAATAATTGTTAATGTACGTGTTTCTTAAATAAATGTTATATTAATTAATTTCACTTAATGTATTGCTGGTATTTCAAGTGTTTAATTTATAAAACATTTTTACGTGGCTTGACAGTTTTGGGAGAAAAACTAGACTTGAAAGAATGGAATAAATATATTAAAATTTTTATTTTTATTTCAGACATTGATTTTTAAATGACCTTAAAATTATCTTTTTGCGTCTTAATGTTTGTTGCATAAAATTTTTGAAATACAAACATAAAATCGTCCAGCTGTACAAACGATGATGCATTGTGCACGCGCCCAAGAGGGAAAGTACAAAATAACAAATAGCTCGTCCTCATAATGGAAGGAAAAGTGATTGGCACGCTCGGCAATGCACTTTTGTGAAAAATCATTGTTCTGTTTATTTATTACATTATAATAATCATAAAGCAGCAGACAGCTTTTATTTTATTGTTCGGCGGCACGCGAGCTCGCGAGACCAATAATTATACTCGCATATGCACTTGTTTCTTTTTTTCCTCCATCCATTCACAGAAGCAGGTACGCGAAAAAGTCATTATTCCGCTCAGTGGTATTTGAAAATCGCGCACTTTCCTTGTTGTTTTTATTTTTATGGGAGATTGAACTGCGGGCGATAAAATCTAAATTTTTTTCGGCTGCACTCGCCGTCAAATTAGAACAATAATATTATTGTGCCGTCGTCACGAGAGAGGAAAAATCGTTGTGAATGGAGAGTGGCCAGTTGTGAGTATAAACAAATAGCGGACCGACGGCTAATTTGGCCCAGTTTTTTAGCTCCGGGGGTGGTCCGTATGAATGCGGCAAATAAATAATAAAATTATACGCACCGAAAGCCGTGTGTGCTTTAAAAGCAAACCGCCCACCTTTTACCGGTCCACAAAAGTGGCGAAAACAACCGGCACTGGCTGGTGATATAGAAAGGAACAAATGGCAAAATGATTTGTTGTGGGTATCGGATTAAACTTTTATGTCAACACGCCCTTAGATGGATTTCAGACATTTTAGACATTTTATTAAGGATTATAAATGAATGTATGACCAAAGATTTAATTTGAAATATACCAGCTGGAAAAAAATCGTAACTTTTTCTTTAAAAAAAGGTTTACCTCTATAAAAACTTACATGATGAAAATATTGCTTATGATTATTTATTTTGGAATTATAATAAAATTGATTTTAATTTGCAGTTTGAAATAAAAATAAAATAGCACAAATAATATACAGAGATTTACAAAAATAACATTAAAAATTAAATTTAAATGTAATATTTACATTCAAAATAATTTAAAACAATTAATTAATTCCTGAATAATACGGTTTGCCATAATATGACATAATTAACTCGTCCGCTCTCACAATGGAGCGTGAGGTTTTGCTGGTATTAATTTCTTCTTCCATCGCAGCAATTGTGCTGTCGACTCGTTTGCATGCAGGAATTTACGCCTAATGGGATCACCGGTGCGCTCACGCAGCACGCATTGTGTCGTCGAGCGCCAACCAACGTGGGAGGAACGAAAGGATTACTTTACACACTCGCGGCTGCTGCAATAAATTTAAATCTCAGGCGCAGGCGGCGCGCATTAATTTATTGGACGAACCAACTCGCTCGCCGTGAAATGAGAGACACTTCGGACACATCTCGCCTGCCTAACTGTGCTTATTTTGTCACTCTTTGTGGGTATTCTCATTCTGTATGGGAACAACGGACGCGGGTAATAAACTTTGGCGACCATTCTAAACTTCCAAGGCTTGGTGAATTTCAGCCAGATCATTTCTCAGAGAAGTAGAACTCAGAATAGAAAAACGGTGTTTAATTTCAAGGGCACCTTGACCAATTTATTTCTGTTTCAATCTTGTAATATTTTCATAAAGAATAGTTTAATTTTTCTTTCTTAAAGTCAGCGCTGATCTTTAAAATAACAAATTAATTTGGACTATTTAAATTTCTGAAGTTATTTTTTTTTTTGTATATTAAATTTTGACTTATTTTAATATTGAAAAAAATAATTCTTACCTTGGACGTTAGGTCCCTGTGGAAGATGCCTTTGGAATGAAGGTACGCCATCCCTCTGGCCATGTCGTTCGCCAACTTCATCCGCAGAAGGTGGGGTAGTTCTATTTGCCTATTCTGAATCAGCTGCTCCAGGCTGCCTCCATTAATATACTGCAACAACATATTTTTTAATTAAAAAATGACATAATGGTATCACTTGACAGCATGTCATTTAATTTTTTGTACAACGTGAATTAAGAAAAATGGAGCAAGCATGGGAAATTCAGCAGTGGCACCGCCGCATGGGAAACTCGATTTTAATAATCGTAATAACAACATCACGCGGCGCTGCAGTTGTGCGGCTGCTGTCGCAGAAAAACGTGATTTCGTGTTATTAAAACGAAAACTCCTTGCAATAACGTCCGTTCCGTGTGACAAATGGGAAATGGAGAAAAATGTAAATGGTTCGTGCTGCGCTAAATAAGCCACTTCTGCCGAGAGAGTCTTTAAATATTTAGGTTAACTGCCGAGCTGAAAGAATTAGCTCCTGTACGAACACCTTGAGAAAAATAAAATCAAGAATGAAAATAAATTTCTATAAACATTTCTCTTTCAAAACCACTCTTCTGGCAATTTCAATTGGCCAACACCCAAGAGAGTTGTGTTTTCATTCAAAAAAGGAATTTCTTTCTGTTTTGCAACAAGGAGCGGCCGGTTTAATAACGATAATTACAGGATTTGCATAAGAACGGTGGACGCACTCTGGTGGAATTAGCGGCGTGAGTCAGCCGTGAAACCGCCGTGTCTGCACCGAAATAGCCCCTCGTCGCTCAAGCGAAATGTGAAAATCCCTCTCTCCACATATAATAACAGTGTCGAGAACCAAAATTTTGAGCTGCACCTCCGCAGCCTGGAGCGCGGCCAACTCCGAATTTGCATCACTCTGAGCCAACAGAATCGTTTTTGAAAAACCGACACGAGGTGCTGAAATATTCCGACCCGGCGGAAAAACAAAAGGATTATTTTTGCGAGCTGCTTATTTCAGTGCCTGAAACCTTCTTTTTATTGTTTTTTTTTTCTGTCGAGAGGTTTTGCTTTGTTTGCATTTCGTCTGAGCTAATTTGTCCCGGCTGAATTAATGCGCAGCAGGAATTTGCAGCTCCTGCTCCACAACAAAGAAAGGGGTGTCTGCCGCCGACACGGGACGCTACTTAATATTTGACTCACGCGCGCCAAAGCGTGATTTTTTCGCAGTCGGAGACGAAATCTCGCCTCTTTCATCTTTATCTCGGAACAACACTTCTTCTTACTCTGTTTTTTATTGCACGTCTCGGTGCTGGAATGTCTCAAGAGCTGGACTCGTGTTTTTACAGTGTCAGAAATGTTATCTTAGATCGCTAATGAGAATTTTTTTCATTTATTCAAAAGTTAGCCTATTGATTTACAATGTTTAATATAAAATAAAAATAAAAATATAACTGAAATTTTTTATCTGTTATGGTTATTGGGTAAAAATAATTTGATAAGAAAATTATACTTTACACTTGTCATTTGGAATAAGACATAAAGATTGGAATTAACTCTTAATTATTTTTCCATAGTCCAGATAACATACCATTATCTTAAATTGACGATCTATAATTTTAATTAAAATGCCTGATAAGAATAATCAGTTGATGATTACAAAAATTAAATTTGTTGATGGAGAATTAGCCAAAATCAATTTAATTTAAGCGAAAAGGAGATGAATTAAAAGAAAGGCAAGCAAATCGGTTTGATGAAAATTTTGACAAGATAATTTTTGCACATTTTTAACGTAATCATTCATCCTGCGCATCTGGTCCGGAAAGTGCAATTTCGGCCAAATTGAGGAAGGAAATCAAGATGTGGGCGCCCTTCCTGTTTATAACTGGGTAATTAAGAAATTTGCGGTCGCGCCAGGCGCGTGTTCAAGCACCGACCGCCTTTCGTCCGATCGATGTTTGTGTGCCACGGCGAAAGATGCGTGTGCAGCGGTAACAGAATGTAAATGACTGTGCGTGTGTGAATTATGCGCTCAAAAACTTGCACGTCGCTTCTTTTTACCATTAGCGAGAGATTGAGAGGAATTCGTAGAGCGTTGTGTGACTCGAAGCCGATACGCGCAATTATGCGTCTTGTGACGAAGATGCCTTTTCAAATGCTCATGATTTTGAATGCACCATGCACTGCTCCGTGCTTCCCGCGGCGTGCGTGGAATTAAGTGAAAACATGAAATCACATGAAATGAACCAAACAGGGAAAATTCTTGTAGCTTTAAAACATGCTGTGTAAAAATTATATTAAAAATATTATTAAAATGGAAATTTTAATTTAAAAAAAAATGCAGATTAAAATATTTATAAGAATATATTTAGATTTTTCTGATATCTTCTTTTTTTAAATATGCAGTTCAAACTTAAGGGTTGTTAAGAATATATGTGTTTAATTGAAATTTATTGAGTACAATTTGTTTTCCAAAACACAAGATAAAAAACATAATTTCCAACTTGTAGAAATTTACGTTCGAGTGTGATAAGAAATATTCTGTTCGCCTTTGGCGATCTCAAATAATATAAAAGTAACAACGAATTTCCTCAATCAAATTTGATGTTTTGTGAATGTCAAATGCGCCAAATTTCTCCGCATTTAGCATGATTTAGCAGCAATTTCGCTCTCTAACAGAGAAGATTTTGTGCCCTGTGGTGGATTTCACTTTCTGAAAAAAGCACTCCCCCGCAGAGTTTTTCGCTAAATAATAAATTAGCAATAGACATGCCGGCAGGACTTCAAAGCGCGAGAACAAAAGTGAGTGGAGGGCCCGAGCGAGAGAATGGGTGGAAAAAAGAGTGACGAGAGGACAAAGAGGGCACGCGGAAGGAATAATGAGAGCAGCTAACTACAGAGAAAGATGGTTGTCGTCGCTGCAGAATTTCTCCGCCGAGTCACGCGTTTTGTGTCTCTTTTGCCACTGAGAAGGAGTAAAAAAAATTAATGAGGGGCTCCTCTGGCATCAGATTAAACACTCGGGACACCCCTTGGAGCGTGAATTTTAATCAGCGCCACCTGCACACTCGCACAAATTGCATTACGAAAAATGTGTGCGTGTGCGAATGAGTAAAATTTGAATTGCATAATGCGCACAACACGACCCAGCGAATTGACTGCTGGGTCTCAAGAGAGGGTTGAGAGGCTTTTCCGCGAAAACTGAAACCCAGCAGCAGCGCAGCACACCCTCCTCGACCTGTTTTTCCCTCTATTCAGAACTCGTGCGCGCGGCCTCGATCTCAAAAGCAACACTCTGCTGTGGGTGGTGAGTTTTTGTGCCAAATCAGCGCTAAATATGTAAAGGGGACTCTTGATAACGAGCAAATGCAGGCCATTACAAGTTTTTTAATATACAGAGGGCAGAATTTATTTGAAAATCTTTTTTTTTCAAGGCTGATGAAAATTAAGTACATTCATGCGGTGCGGGCTTCAGCCATAATTCATGAGCTTTAAATTATTTCAACAACATTAATATATAAATTAATTTATTGATTTAAAAATGATTTTTGGATAACATTAATATTTTTAAATGCTATTTAATCGTTACAAAATGGAAATTTTAATTTTTAATTTAATTTTTTTTAACAATTAAGGTTGTGCAGATTTGATAAAAGATAAAATCCTTTAAGAGATCAAGTTAAAAAAAATCAATGAAAAGCACAGCATTTAAATTAAAGCATCATCAAAGACTAAAGTAGCATGATGCAAGATTTATCAAGTTGATCTTTTGGATAAACGGCAGAAATATGTATAATTATTCATTATTAATGAGTTTAAATTTTGACTTCATGGCAATCTAAACATATAACACAATAAAATTCAAAATGTAATGCAAACATACAGACTTTTGGTCTTTTTATCATAAGTAACAATATTAGGGAACGCTATATGTATTTATTTGGTGCATTGCTTGAAACGGGAAGCGACACGAAGTAATCAAAAACCAGGGCGTTGTTCCCGATGCGCCTTATAAGATGGGCGCAGAATGAAAATTACACGCTCTCTTCCAACTTCCTCTCTCTCTCTCTCTCCTTTCTTTCAGTTCTTTGCTTCATTGAGATTTATCGTGTTTTTTTTTTAACTAACACAACGCGTACAAGCGCTCGAAGCCAATTTACAACAAAATACAACACACGCCGCGTGTGCCTTATTAAAACACACAATGCACTCAAACGGATATCGAATTTCATCATACTTTTAAAAAAAGTGACGAAAATGAATGGTTCATGGTAAAATAACAACACAATGGGCGCGTCGCGATCGATGACCGAGCCGCGAACTCCTTTCTCGATTTAATTGTTGGAAAGTGTCGCAAGGGCGCTGTGCATAATTTCTATATGTAACGTTTGGTAGGAGGGGCTACGCAGGAATTTATGTAATAACTTCTCGTGTCCAGCAGGTGACGCAACCCTCGAGGCTTAATTGTCCCTCTTTCGCTCAATTATTCATTTTGTTGCGCTGCTGCACCAGAGGATGTGCTGTGTACGTCAAGTTATTGCACAAAGCTGCACGTTTTCTAAACGCCATGCCAGGCTGGTTTAATGACCCACGCCAAGCCACTCGCTCTCCGCAATGCTGCTTTGAATATTTTAAAATCTCTTTGTTGCGGTCAACTGCGCGCTCCAGTCTAGGCCGCACAATGAAAGAGGCAGAGGTGTTTGTATCAATCTTGCAGAGGGCAAAGGCGTTTGTTGTGCATTCCACCCCAGCGGAAAAAAATCCACAGAAAAGAATAAAATTTACAAAAAGAAATGGACTCAAGAGCTGGAAAAACTTATATTTTTTTCTAAATAATTAAATAGGTACTATTAAAATCAATCTTCTGTATAATTTGCTGTTTAACTTTAAATTAACGACCAATTTTTTTCCTAATAGTTATAAGTTAATTATGAAATTTATTATTTTTTTATTTTTTAGCGCGTTTGATTCATTCCATGAGGTTTACTCTACCTAGGGGTTTATGCAACTTTGATCTAATTAAAATATTTTCAGCTATGCATTAATTGAAATTCTCAAAATTTAAATTTATATTATCATAAATGTAAAATTTGCTTTGCTTCGTGGAATTAATTGTTCTATTTGGAATTAATTTTTACGTGTTTATGGCTTTTTCGGACTTTTATTACAATTAAACAAAGAATAAAATAATTCACTGTATTATTCTTTATATTTACTTTCTTTTTCTTTTTAAATATTAGCGTTCTGAGAACACATTTAAGTATGAGCTGGATTGTTAACATTTTTGCAGACACAGAACGCCAACATCAATTTAGCGAGTTAGCCAAGAGCAGCTTGGGGGCAAAAGTGGCTGTCTCGACGCGTCTCGAGCTGCGCCTCGTAAATTATGTACAAAACAACAAAAAAACGAGAGCAAAAGTGTTTCGTCTAAAGAAAGATAGTGAGCCAATGAATCACTCTGGCGCAAGATTTCATTTCCAACTACCAAAACAAAAACATCACTCGCAGCCACGGTTGCACTTCTATAAATAAATATACAAAGTGTTTTCTCTGCGTCTCTATTTCGATGTTCGGAGCAACAACAATTATATAGTGTGACGACGTGCGCAATTAAATTTTCGGCCAGACGGCAAAGTGAACAAACTCACCTCAGTCAAAGCGTGAAGTTGTCCTTCGTGAACACAGACTCCCATAAACCTGCAACAGAGGAAAGAATGCGTAAATTTCATGCCGACTGAAGCTGCAAAACAATGGGCGATAAATTAAAATTTCATTCAGATTCATTTATGTGGGCCGGACGGAATTTTTCCTTTCGGTTTTTGCGTGACGTGCATCCAATCTCATTATTTTGTCAAGTAAGATGAGAATTCGCCATTAATCAAAGACATCAAAGTGTCTCCAAATATTATGACAAGAGATGTGGTAAAATGCACCTCCAGCTGACGTAGAGATAAAGAGAATGATCGATGTCATCTTTTTATTGATCACATCAACGCACGCAATGTGATAAAAATAAATGCATGTTTCCTGGAACACATCTTTTTATCACAGCTAATCACACAGAGTAAATTTCCCGCCTTAATCTCATTTCGTATTATGAATATCCCCCAAATCCTTCCCCTGAATAAAAATTAAAAAATTTTAAGAAATTTATTTATTTTATTCATTTTCAGAGCACTTTTGGAGTTTTGATTTTGAATAATAACAATTTTTACAAACAATTTCCACTTCTATGATCATTTTCCTCAAACAATTTATGAAAGCTGATTATAAAATAAAGTTTTAATGTAATTTAAAATACTGAATATTTTTTATTATTGTTTTTATCTATTTCTCTACGTTGACTTTTTAAATAAATCAATATCAAAATTTAAAATGATTTTAACAAAAAAGGTTTGATTATAAATTATAAATTCGTTGCAAAAGAAAAAAGCAAACTTTTAGCGTAAAAATAAAAATATTCATCATCATGAATATATCTGGAGTGAAGCAAATTTAACTCGTATCCGCTTTCCCATTTCATTCATTCGGTCAGAGCACAAAATTAGCGATGCTGGAGAAAAGTGCGTCACAAAATCGCACGCACATGACTCGAATGTGCGGCGCCGGACGCGAATTGCGAAGCCTCAGCTGAAGAAACTTGGCTCCGAGTTCTTACTCTAAATATACAAACTTCTGCACGCCTACCTCACCCAGCAATAATTTGGCCCTGGCAGAAAACAGGCGTGCATGAGAATGAAAAACGGCGGAGGAAAGTGGGCCGAATTAAAAAAAAAATCACCATCTGCCGCGCAGTATGTTTGCACTTTTGCCAAATGCACTTTCAATAAGTATATAGTTTTTGCTTCTCGAAATGCAAACTTTCTCAAATTTGCGGTCAACTTGCCAGCACATGTGGATGGTCGATAATGAGTGGAAATCTGATATGGATGGTGGGCCACATTTCGTTCCGTTTGCAATTATGTGCTGTGATTTGAAGAGCGCGGCTCATTCAGCGAAAATAAATGTGTGCGGAACGTCGTCATCCGAACATAAAAAGTGCAGCCCAACCTTCAAGCTAAACAAGCTGAATTGGGGGAAAAGGGGAATAATGATATCATGCTGATTCTCCGGATTCTACCATCCACATCAGAGATAGAAAAACACCCACTATTTTACTACAAAATTCTGACAGATGTAATTAATCTTCAATCGTTCTAAAAAAAATTCTCCTTGAAGCATAATCATAATTCCTGGTTTGACATTTTCCATTCTGACTATGTACATAAATATATTTCATATAAGTTTGAAAACTTTGAGAATTTAACACACTGTTAAAGCTCACCACCTTCATAGTACTGAATACATTTCCTCAATGATAATTTAATTTAGTTGAATAGCTCCAGAATAGCTTATTTGTTAAATTTAATATGACGATAGTTATTCATTAAAAGCAAAATTGTTTAAAAACTATTAAATGCATTAAAATGCATTTATTATGAAAATAAAAATAAAACAGAAAAAAATATAATTAAATTCAAGATTTTAAAATTAAATTTTGACATTAAATCAAATATTTCTTAAGCACGTGTGTTTCATAATAAATGCACATTAATAAAATTAAAATTGTAACTAATTTTTTTTAAATATATAAAAAATATTATGTAATAAAATTAACAATTAAAATAAAATTGTTGAGATCGATTCAAAGTTTAATCAAAGCCAAACAGCGAATAAAAAAAAAGCAGCTGCCGCAAAGTTCCTGTGTTCAATCTTGAGTGCAGTGTCATTCGGAACGACACACGAGGCCACACACTTTTCCTAACATGTAACAACAAAAACAAATCGCGTCCAATTATATCAGCCGTCGGCGACTTTTCGTCACACTATCCAATTCCCTTACATAAAAGCCCGATGCATTTGTTACGCAACGCGAGCAAGATGCATTTATTTTACTTAATCCTAAGCGGCATTGCCACGCCAGATTAGCATACTCGGTGAACGCTCGCTCGCTCGCTTGCGGGACAGACCGGCAATAAATGGTGAGATGAATCAGAGAGCGAGCCGGCGCCAGAGTGAAAGCCGCGCTTTGTATTCGGCGGCCTTGGGGCGGCCATCTGCGGCGGCGGCGGCCGCCCCCGCCCTTATCGCGGCCACCCCCGAACGAGCACCGAAGCGGGCGGTTCCGTCTGGCTGGGTGGCCAACAACCCGTAAATCGCCACTTTTGCGGCTTTCCCGGTGACATCTGTGCCGCCGATGTCAAGAATAAGACAAGCGTAGTGACCTTTAAGGGAATTTACTCGCGATCAGAGAGGACAAGACGAGCGAACCTTGGGGTCGCCTTTTTTGGAGCGGCGAGGGTAAGCAATTGGTGAACGCGGAAATTACATTTAAAGAATGAAGCGCAATTATTTTTCGACCGTTTCGGGCTTTCGGAGGTGTTCTAGTTTTCAGCAGGAACTGATTCGTGTTGTTTGATTTGAATTTGAAATTAGCTTGTTAGTCTCGCCTTTGCTGCCGGAACGAACTGGTGCAAAGAATTATGGAATCGGAAGTTGGATAGAGAGATTGAGATGGCCCATATGTATTAATGTTTTATAAAAGTTTAGAGTTTATAGGCTGCAAAACCTTCACCTGAATTTTACGTTTACCATCTGCTCTGCATTGATTTTGGACGATTGCCAGGAAACCAAATTTTAAAATTTAATCTTGATATCAACTGAATAGATTAATTAATTTTTTTTATTTTATGATAAAAAGTTATATTTTTGGACAAATTTCAACACTTCCGCGTTGACTCGTTAGCAAAAAATAAACAGATGCCCAATGTCGTGCCGTATACCGAATTATGTTAGAGTTTTGACCTAGTCTCGGCACCACGTACCGGTAATCTGTGTGAAATAATTCGAAGAGACCAAATAAGCCACACGCCTGCGGTCGCTCAGCCGAGTCTGACAGTCGGATAATTTACACGCACAAATATTGAGTGCGCATATGGTCTGCGAAAAACATTCTCTCTGGCGAGTATTTTATAAAGAGAGCGGCTCTGCGTAGGGAAATCCAATCAGCCACCTGATGAAATGGAGATATCATGTAATCAGTTATGACGAACACTAGACGATTGAGATTTGAAAATAGACCTCTTGATTAAAGTGTTGCACCCTGCTAAAAAAAATATCACAGAGAAATTCCAACATTATAAATTATTAGCTGGTCATTTTTATGATTTATCTAATTTTTTATAATAATCTTATAGTTATCGTGCCTGTTTTATTGAATTAAGCATGTAATTTTCAAATGTGCAGATTTATTTATTATCATGATATTTGCAAGAATTGTGGAGTAAAAAACCTTTTCAGAAAAAAGCTAAATGAGAATTAATCAAGTGAAAGGTCAATCATTTTAATCAAACAGTTGATAAATTTAATTCAAAAATAAATAGCCAAGATAATATTATATTTGTTTGTTAAAAATAAAAAAAGAACATTAGTTAAAGTAAATTAAAAATGAAATTTTTGTTATTTACATACATTCAACTGATCCAACTAAAGCTTTTTTTTAGATATAAAGCGAGAAAATGAGTGCAAGAAAGAAAGGTTGCGGTTCTTTGTTCTGTTTGAGTTCTCTGCGTCCAGCAGTTTACCAAATGGAAATGCAAGGATTCGCCCAAATAAGGTAAATCACGCTGGCGGGGAGGTCGTCGGCAACCTCGGCAGGTCGGAGAAAGAATGAGCACCGATGCAGCCGCGCTGAGATGCTTGCGGTGCATGGCAAGAAAAGAAACGAGTTGTTTATAAAACGACTCTGACTCTCCACTGAAATAACCTTAGCTGTTGCCCATTCTATTTATATTTGTGCCATCTGCGATTGTTTTTGGTTTTTGTTATATTTACCGCTGCGTGTTTGGAACGCAGGCGAGAAGAAGAAGTAAAGCATGGAGCGAATGTTCAAAGAAAATGAGCGGCTTTCCGCAAAAGTTTACTATTAGCGCGCACTTTATGTGCAAATTCCGATGAACATTTGTTTAGAACCAGAGGCTGTTTTAAAGCCGTTTGGAATGTTCAACTTCCTGTCATTATTTTGAACTGAAATAATGGCAGAAAAATCCACGTTTTTTTTAAGACTAAAGAATTAATAAAATGACCAAACAGTTTTTATTTAATCAAAATCCAATTCGTTTTATATATCATTTGTAACTATATTTATGATAAAAGGTCAAGTTGTAGCTACAACCAAGCTTAAGTTAGATAACTGACTGGTTTTTTAATCAAAGTTTATACTTATAAATTGAAAAAATTATTAATATTCTACAAAGACGACCATACAAAGAATAAATTTAAATCAAATAATGCTGTATAGCAAAAGATTTGTTACATAAATTATTAAATTTCTATATCCTTTTTTCAAATAAATTGTTTTCAACAATTAAATGCAAACGATGTGGACAAATAAGCATAAACAACAATAATAATTAATTAAAACTAGTGCCTTTTGTAAAAAAATAACAAGATTTTTCTTCTTCCTCTGTAGTTCACCAATATGAAAGAAGTTCCTTCTCTCCTGGCAAATTTCGTCCTTGCCAAGACTCATCTCATCGAGTTCAAAGTCGACCGGAGAATGCGTAATGAACAAGAAAAAAGATCGGAACGCAATTACGAGGCAACCCCGAGCACAAAGGAATCATAACTCAAACTACTTTATTGCCAGAAGCCTCCGGCAGGAAAGGATGTAAAAAGGAAAACAATTATGACGCACATCTCGTGCTGCATTTCAATTTGCATCTCGACCATTTCATTGCGAAGTGGCGCGACGACCTTTCACAGAAGGATTTTATTTACCTGCTGGCAAATGTGACCGGAATAAATAAACGACAATCTGATTCGCTCTGCCTCAGTTCCTGATCGGAAGCTATCGATCAATTTAATCTTTCTAGAATTTGCATTTCAACCTAAGTAGATCAAAAGTGCTGGCAGCAATTAAATTAAAATAATAGTAAAGGGAATTCTGGTTTGCAAATTGTTTCTCCAACTCGGTCATTCAGCACTCCTTCAATTGTTTTCTTTTCAGCGAGACCAAAACGGAAAAGTGCGTAATGACTTCTCTTTCTTTCTCTCCGGCCCACCGTGTAATCAATTCGAACCTGCTAATTACGAACCAACTTGTGATGCAAATTTCTTTTGTTGTTGTTTCCAGTCTAAAATTATATATCTCTCCTTTTTCAATGGTGTGTTTCATAATTTATGTCGCAAAATTGGGTTAGACTGTGTGTTCAAAAGTAAGGCACACTCTCGTTTTCAAGTCGGCTGGGGTGGCTTTCAAGGCAGTGTCACGAGACCCTGCGCCAAGATCGGATTTCGCAAGACTGGTTCTCTCGGTGTGTTCAAGTGAGAAAGGAAACAAATGCAGAAACACACGAGAAATTCAATACACACGGCTCGCCGCGAGCTTACATCAAAAGTGTGCGAGATAAAAGAAGTCGGTGCTTTCAAACTCACGCGCGCAGGCCATCACAAGTGCGTTGGTTATCAGAGCTTAACGATTGCAAAATTCGCTGACCGGCCGAAAAATGTTGACTCCCACGGTGTTGGCCAAACGCATTTCGCCTTGAATTTGGTCATTTACGCATGCATTATTATGAAATCAATCGCTTAAAAATCTTTCATTTTTATTATTAGCATTTAACACACTTTCACAAAAAAGGAGCTTTCGTAAGCACATTAGAGAATTATCAACTTGATTATTAAAATATTTGAAATATTCTTATCTTATATTTATTTATTCTATTAATTTAATAATTCTTTTAATGATCTTATATAAGATTTAAAAATTGTTAAAACAGAAAGATTTACTTTGTTTCCAGACCAAATGTGGTGGCTCATTAGTTACAATTCAAGGACTGTTTAGAAGCTGTTAATTTTAATTTTTATAAAAATTGTTGTATTGACGCCCCAGTACATTTAAATTCTAACAAAAAAATTAAAATTCTTGAACCTAACATTGTGTTTAAATTACAAAATACGAGTGATTTTCTAATTAATAAAAGCAAATTATGAGCATAAAATAATTCAAAATCCTTGCTATTTAAAAAGAAAAAAAATTAAAATTTAATTAAAAACTTACCCTAAAATGTTGGGATGCGACAGTTTGTTCATCAGCTGCACTTCTCTCAGCATGTTGGGTCTATTCCCGCGAACCCTGTTCATTTTGAGCACCATCACTTGACCCGTGGTTCGATGCACCACCTGAAACAAGTCAAAAGAAAAAAATCAATCACTCGCTTAGATTCGTAAAGCCTAGAGGCGTCAACTTTTCAAATCGACGCCAACATTAATATTTTTTCTTCTTCCCACTCGCGTGTTTATTTTGGGCCGCGTGGGCGTCTCGACGTTTTTTTGTGGCCAAGAGGAAGTTGCTTATGAGAATGCTCCATTAATGAAACGATGGGCTGCCATTAAATTAAGCTAAACGATTGATTAATGGATTTTCTGGCGTTATTTATGTGCAACGACGCCAGGGAAAAATTGTGCTGCATTAGAGTGTGTGGAAGGATGCACTCGTTGATTAGATTGGCTCTAAATGCGAAGGCGAAATTCGGCTTACAGTGTGGATTTAATTAGGTGAGTGATGGCCTGACATTTATCAGTATGGCCATCAATCACCTCAGAATTAATATTACAGTGTTTGTTATAGTTGGTAATATTTAAACATTAATAAAATTAATCAACAATTACAAGCCAAATAAATTAATATTTGCAACCAAAAATATTATATAGGTTAAAAAGAACTACTAACTTCAATGAATGAAGAACAAATCAAAATAAAAAATAAATAATTTTATAAATAAATAAACTTAAGACAAATAAATCGATAATTATAAAAAAAAAATGAGATTTTTCAGTTTCTTGTGTGCATTGATAAAATTAGAGATTTAAGACAGATTTAAGATTTAATTTATAAAATTTAAAAGTTAGGCACAAACGTATTGTAAAAATTAAAGACTTCAAATTTTTCCTGCAAATTAGATTTGTAGTCGCAGAATGTGTCCTATCAAGAAACACAACCAATCATCACGTAGTGCCCTAGATGAATTTATGGAATTTATTTATTGATTTTCCAGATAAATTCTAAAAGCCTTCATGAAGACAAATCATAAATTTTCCAATGCAGTCTTTGAGTGCATTGCCTCTGACCAATTCAAAGCCATGGGCCGCGAGCACAACAGAACAAATTCTTTTGATAATAAATCTCAAGCAGTAAAATTTTCTGACGCATTAAACGTCATTACGAAATGATTTAATGTCGCATCCAGGCATGTACATGAAAAGAAGAAGGGTTCGGGCGTGCATTAATTTTTTCTCTCCTGAGAAAATCCCCTGCAGCCGATGTTGATCCGAGTAATAATGATAATGCCAGAGACAAGAAGTCGTGGGTGCAATGCACTCTGCGCTTACATTAACAATAACTTTCAATTTCTCCGAGTAGCGTGCGGCGACTGTGTGGTAATGAATTATATTACACTTGAAACGAATGCACAATGCCCGTCGGGAAATTAATAATCCAAGCATAGGAAAGATCCCACACTTCACGCAGCAGAGAAATCGCTCTCTTATCTCTCTTGTTATGTATTAAAAATAAATAATTCAGCTCTTTTTCACTTGAATGAGTCGCAATTAAATTCATATCACTGTCGTTTAGAAAGTGGTGCCGCCGAAAACGCTTTAGCGGAAGCAGATGAGATTGTGAGAAAATTCACCGCTGCGCATATAGGAAATGGAATGCTATTAAAATATATGTGCCACTGAAGTTATTTTTTTCATTCTTTGAATGTATTTAAATGAAGGAAGAGGTCTTTCCTCTCTTGGTGACAAGTCGGAACACAAAATTGATGGCGGGGCGTGCTTTTTACTGTCGCTCTGCAACAAATCAATGCGTCGAAAGCTTTAATTTTAGATTTGTTCCGCGTAGGGGACAATTATGTAAATAAATGGGGCTATACTTCTTTCAGCAACGGCTTGACGTGCAGTTAAGAGATAAATTTCAAAAGAGAATATCAATGAATAACAAAGTTTAATAATGTTGAAGAGAATCCTGATTCAGCAACAATGAATTTGAAAAAACTTTATATCCAATGATCAATAATCCTCAGCATGGAAATAGACTTTCATCATTTAATAATTAAATTAGGAAATTGTGATCCTCAGAGTTATAAATTTATTACATTTAAATTATGGCGAATTACAGAGATACAATGCGCTAGAGGCGGACAGACGATTTTGTGATGAAAAAAAAGAGAGAAAATAAATCTATGTAAATTATTAATAAAAAAAATAATAATAAAAACACAAAAATTAATTAAAAGTAATAAAAATTATACTATGTATACTAAAAAATATTATTTTTAAACATCCTAAAGTTTTTATGAAAACTGTCTGCCAGAAAAGTTGCACAAAAGTGCATGCAGGCGTTGACTTAAGTTTCCTGCCATAAAACTAGAAATCATGCCGTGTCTTTAATTAAGGCCCATTAAATATCTCACACACGCCCATATTTTCCTCGTTATGCACCGAACTCTGCAAACGCAAACCACTCTCGGTGACGCTGTCAAACTGCTGTTATACCTTTAAACGAGCACCAGCATCGTCTTGCACCGCGCCAACTAACAATAAACCTCCATACCTTGGTGTCTTGCGGAGAACATTTTCGAATCGGAATTCACGTGGCACGCAAGAAGGCGCTTGGAAAGCGACGGCAATTAAATCGTCTCAAAATAATTTTCTACTCATTCAGTCGAGACAGCGGCGATTGTACTTGGTCGGTCGTCTCGTGAACAGATCAATGCAGAAATAAATGCACCACTGCCTGGCAAATCGCCTTGAAAGAATAACGACCATTATCGATGGGCACTCGGCCTCAAAATTAGACGCTTTGTTTCAACGGCCAGCTCTAGGAATGCTCCTATTTTTTACTTTGAGACGACACCGATTTTATGGTAATGCAACGGCAAGCATTCCGGGACAGTTCCGAGAAAAGTAACAAAAAATTAAGGGACTTAACCTAAAATAACCTTTTGGTATTACTACTGGAATTTGGTGGGCCCACTAAAAGCTCAATTACAACCAAATCAGAATCTAACAAGTTGAACGTGTTCAAAATTATAAATAAAATGAAAATGTTTGAAGAAATTTACGGTTGAGGAGATGGAAAATTAATCGAGTCGATGGAAATTAAGAGATCGGGCTTTTCCTCTTTGCGAAAATTGTTTTCATTCAAAAAATAATAATACAAAACATTAGTTTTTTAGAATAAAACAATATTTGTATGGAGGAAAGCCCGATCTCTTTATTTTCAAAATGAAAATGCTTTAAAAAGAAAAAACTAAAGCTACATCTGTTATAAAAAACCTTTCGTTTAATTAATTTAATTAATTGAGAGTCTGAGGCTCTTGTCTAAGTTAAGACTGTAATTAAATTTAAAGTTTATCTCCAAACAAAGAAAAACTATTATCAAACAGGTGCTTGCAATGTAAACCGTGACCGACCGTCCGTCCGCAATCGAGGCTTCAATTGTCGTTGCTTTGAAGCATGCAGGAGGGCTGTCAAGTGCAAAACAAGCATTGATTCATTGCTCTGATTACGGTTGGGCTATGCAAGTGAGCACATGCTCACTGCAAAGTCTAATAATCCCATTACCGTGTATAAATTCGCAGCTGCCGCTTTTATACGAATGTCTCTTCGTCGGCGACATCATGCTCAGCCACCGGCACGAAAACCTTCTCTTGTGTTTTGTCATTCTGGCACGACAATAATCTCCGTGCTAACTGTATGGTGGGTTTTATAGATTTAATACCAAAGACGTCTAAATGAGCGAATGAAAATTCGAAATGCTGAGACGTTTTAGCGCCTCTTGCAGGCACTTTGAATGTCAAGTATAAGGTGTTTTATTTTGTTTTCCAATTGTGCTTTTGTCCGAGGGATTAACCTCAAAGTCACGAAATCTGCGCTCAAATCCATTGTTGGGTACCGCTATTTGAATTATTAAAACTTATTTTCATGTCGTGATTTTCATCCTGCGATGTGCATCCGCACGACGTCTGCAGTTGCTGACAAATATAATGTGTTATCGTGCCCACGACTGCACATTCCACAATCGTGACAACGCTTTTAATTTGTCTAGTCGGTGCCCTATCAAAATATAAATAAATTTGAAACAGCCCAAAGAGTATTAAATAGTTTCCTGGTAAAAATTAACAATTTATTCTGCTGCTTTTAAAGTTGAGAGGTAAAATTAATAATATTCAATTCAACCTGAAATCTATGTTCAAACAATTCCTACAATTAGTAAAAATGAACTGTAAACTTTCAACTTTTTAAATATTACGTATCAGTTCTAATAATCAGGAATTCTTAATTTTCGTTACAGTTCAGTAATTAAATAAATTTATTTAAGTGCCAATTATTAAAATTGCACCAGGACTTTCACTGAACGATCACTAATTAGTTAAAAATGGCCTTTCACAAGTTCCTGATTTCCAGTAAGACGTTTCGTTTTCATGATTTTTTTTCTCATGAACACAATCAGGACGGGCGAGAAAACTCCCAAGTGAGCCAAATGCCTCGTTATTGCCCTTTCGATCGTTGAGTGTGTGCAAACTGCTTTCTGGCTGTTTGTTATTGCGGCTCGTGCGGCGATCTCCATAGTCAACCACCGTGTCTCTCTTTGGTTAGATCGTAAACAGAAAATCAACTTCTTCACTTTGATATTGTTTTTTATTTTATTGCAGAGAGCACTTTTTACGGCCTGTAGCAGCAGCACACGTTTCTCCAAGCGGATGCCAAAAATTTGCGGGCAGGAAAAAAATGAAAATAATTATAACCGACCCACGCTTTTTTCATTCTGACAGCTTGAGAGCTTTTCTTATAATTACAAAACAGAAAACGAGATTCAAAATAAGCGTCTCTGGGTGAAAAGAATATAAAATTTTGCTTCCTCGGCGCACGCCCTTGCCACAGAATAATGCGATAAACGCTGAGTGACAGCGGCCCGGCTACATATTAATTAGCCAAGGCCACAATTAAGCAGTTCCTTGAATCCTTCAACTCGCCGATATGATTAGCCTCTGAGGTAACGTGCTGGATTGTCATTCCGCAGGGAAAACGGAACTGGTAGTGAAAAAAGTACGGTGGCCTTTACGGTGGCAACGAGTGAAAAATTACGTGTTCGCTTGCGATGACGTTTGCCCGCT